TACTTAAGTTGGCCAACTTGTACGAGCTCCTCAATCTTGTACTAAACCCTAAACCCTAATACCTCAATCTTGTCCTAGAAAGCCCAACATTCTTTCGTGGTGAGGCCCATGTTTCTATGATAGCAATAGTGTTTGTTGCAATGTGCCCCCTCATGTACTCATCCTTTCTCAAGAAGGGCTAATGTTTGTGTGCTTTAAACCTCATCAAAGACATTATTTTCAAGAATAGTGAGAAAGGTGTATGAGTTATATCGTGGTGCTTTTGGGGGTCGACTTCTTTTAAATTTGTTGTCATTATGGGGGCATAGCTGATCAGACTTAGAGGATTCGTCTATGGCTTAAGTGCTTGAGATTGGTAAGGCTTGATATGCTCCTCGAGGCAAGTTTGGTGTACTAAAGGAGTGTGGTTCCTTCCAATGAGGTAGGGAACATTTTACAAAGGATTGCATCATCGTGTATGTACAAGTGCATATGCATTGCTCATCTAAGCAAGTCGAGTTGTCATATGCCTTCATGTAAAAACACTTCCATCAAGGTGGACCTCAATGATCTCATCCGCGAAGGGATTTTGTGCAAGGGGCAATTTTTTTTGGTGGAATGGGATTGGGATGGCATGTATTCCTCTACAGTGGAGGCTTACATTCCCACTCAAATGTTGGCATTTTCTATCCCTAAGGTTTAGAGCTCCTACTTGGGTGAGCTTGATCGGCCTTGCACTAGGCTCTTAGAGTTTCATTATTTTGGCATAAGGTCATTAGGACTTCTTTGGTTCGCTTTTGCATGGCCTTCATTCGTTGTAGAAGCTTCATGGTGGACAACGCAATGTGGGGAGGCTCAAGGTTGCTGGTCGTCATAGAGGTTATGTTCATCTTCATGGTTTGGTTTCAGATGAAAACCATGTGTGGTTGAAGGATTATTTCACTTCAACCCCACAATGACTCAATGAGTGATGTTGCTACTTGAATCTGCAAGTGCTCCAACGAGAGAAATGATAACCTTTGCCTTCCAATTGCAAAGAAACTCAAATACTTAAGTTAGATTGGATTAGGAGGTAGTTAAGGTTAGAGTGATAACTTTTATATTTTTTCATAGATGCTTAATTCTTATTATTAAGCCTAAGATTTGGATATTCAAATAATGGAATATCTTATCAAATAATAATACGATATTGCATAATTAATGGAGAGATTCTTTTAGCAATCATAGAAAGATAAGATAGTTTAAGAAACAACCGCGTAGGTTTCACCTCCTTGTTCAATAACTCTCAAAACTTGAAATACTTGTATAATGTTTTTTATTTAATTGTACCGAATCTTAAGATATAACTTTCAATGTAGTTTTTGTTGGGGGTTACCACACATATACACATGTCTCCACATTGGTGAGATATTATCCGCTTTGGGCCCAAACCTTCACGATTTTGCTTTTGGACATCACTCAAAAGGACAATTGTGTGTATATAAACTCATGTTCATCCTCTTGTTTGAACGATGTGGGACTTTGCTTGCATCCCAACAATCCCCGCTCCATCATGACCTCCCCTCCATGTTACTAGGAAGCCTCTCTTCCCCATGGACCCACCGTTAGGAAGACTTTCAACACAAGGAATCCCAAACTTGGATCTATCTGCCACCTATCATACTCGTCAAGCCGATCACCTAATCAGATCATCGGCTCTGATACCACTTGTTGAGCAACATGAGGGTTACCACACATTTACACATGTCTCCACATTAGTGAGATATTATCTGCTTTGGGCCCAAGTCCTCACGATTTTGCTTTTGGACATCACCCAAAAAGCCTCTCAGAATTTGATACATATGCTGATAAGTCTCTTCATACGACGACATGGAAGTCGCACCATTTTCAAATGTTGTGGAAGTCCTTCGTTGTTGATGGGTCCTTGGATCTTGTAGTAATCGTGTCACAGATAGAAAATAGATGTTTGCACTCTCTAAAACTCATTTTTCATTTTCTAATCTTTTTCCTCCTTTCTCTCTGAAGACGAAGGGGAACCTAGAGAGGGCGACCAACAATATTCAGCTCCTGCTTATAGAGGTAAGGGGGGAGTGAGAAATCTTGCTCTGGGTGTGGGAATATATGTTGGGCAGTGGGATTGGCCCCCAATCCTGTGTATTGCTGTATTTTTGTATGCTCATGTATGAGGGTTTCTCCCAATTGTATCTGTTTTTCTTATTATTTTTCTTATATGCAATTAATTATATGATTTGAGATTTCTATGGGTTCCTATGGGAAACCCTATGAGTGTAGACCCCTAAAATTGTCCGGGTCGGAAATAAAGCTTGAAGACTCTCGAAGACTGAAGGAAGATCAGCCAGAAAGACTCCTGGAAGGCCCTAGGAGGGTTCTCTGTAGGTCTAGAGGTCTTAGAATAGCTCAAAATAAGGAAGTGGAGGGAATGAAGCCCAATACGGCCGTACTGAACTTAATACGGCCGTATTGAAGCTTCAATACGGCCGCAGTGAACTCAATACGGCGTATTGAAGTTTCTGAAACTTCAATACGGCCGTACTGAAATCAATACGGCCGTATTGACACTTCAATACACCCGCAGTGAACTCAATACGGGCGCATTGAAATTTCTGAATTTCAATACGGCCGTATTGAACTCAATACGACCGTATTGAAGTTCAAAAATTTCAATACGGCCGTATTGCTTCTGTAGGCCGTATTGCGCCTATTCCCTATAAATATGACGTCAATTGGACGTCATT